GCAAGGCCCCTGCCAGCACCCCCTGCCTCCGTCACTGAGTGAGGAAGGGGCGATGACGACGGCATGCTCTCGGCTCGCTTCTCTATGAATCTAGATGTAATTTCTTTATGTTTGTTGTAGTGTCATGATTAATGAATAGTTTGAGAGTTTACTAAAAAATTTGGCAATTTGATTTATATATACAAAATTTTCAGTAGGACACCTTGGCTACAAACCTCAGTCTACACAGCCCGGCGGCCTCTACAGCATTCCGGAACAATCTAGCCCAGCTTCAGACCGGATGGGACGGATTACCAACCAGATCCACCCTAACTCCATCCAAAAGACCAAAACCCCCGAACCCGGTGGGTGTTTTCGTAAAATCGGAGCAGGATAAGCTCCTGGGCCGGGGGATAAAGGGGGTGTGGGCTTTGGCCATAGCTCCAGCACTTTCGCCGCTGCTCTCCGCTTTCATAGGGTTTATCTCTTTCCTCTTCCCCTCTCGCGCACGGCAGCCGGATTCCCTACCGCAGGCGAGCCACCACGCCGGCCGGAGCTCGGAGATAAGGTAGCCACCTCCTCGTAGCGCTCGATTCTCGCTTGCTGCGCGGTGGATTTGGGTGGGCGCGGGGTTTGGGGTAGTGAATTTGGGGGTAATCTGGCTGGTTGTTCCTCCGATTTGGTCTATGTTCGGCTTGTTAGGGGCTATGTGCCTGGATTTGGATGGGATTCTGTACTCTCTAAGAGCTTATGGTAATGCCTCTGTGCGGGAGTACAGTGAAGCCTAACCTTGTTTCTAACGATGGTTGGTGGGGTGGTTGACCTCTGCTTTTTTACCACCCTGAATCTGCCAACAATATCCACCTTCATGTTCAGTGTTTGTGTTCAGATTTGAATAGACTGTGCACTGGGAACGATTTATTCAGTTCAATTGGATGTTCTGTCCAGAATTTGGAAATAATTTGTCATCTGTATCAATTGACAGGTAGTTGTTTAGCAAGCAATCGAGAATGTCGTCGGTGCGGCTCTCCGGTGCCGGTGTTGCCGCGGTGGCCTTCAACAACACTGGTCTGCGCCCCTCTCAGGCGTCAGCAGTCAGAGTGTGCTCATCGAGGCGCTCATCTCGTAGCCTCGTTCTCAGGGCTGCCACTGTCGTCACCCCGAAGGTTAACAACTATGGCAATGCAAATGCATTATGCTTAGGGGGTGCTTATTTGCGCGCTGCGACAATTGGTTACATTTTGTTTTGACATAACTGCAGTATACATCACTCAAGCCTCTGGGAGACAGAGTGCTTGTGAAGCTTAGCGCAGCTGAGGAGAAGACCATTGGTGGAATTTTGCTTCCATCCTCCGCGCAGTCCAAGCCTCAGGGAGGCGAGATTGTTGCTGTTGGAGGGGGTAGAACCATTGGGGATAAGAAGGTGGAGGTCAGCATACCGGTAAATTCTTCTATTCTAGCTTTGGGAGTGCAGTTATTTGTTTACCTTGGTACTTTTTTTTTTTGAGATCGTTGGTACATTTCTTACTCTGAGTACAAGTGGCCATGGTGAGACAGGACCTTGTATCGAACTAATTTAAAAGCAATGCAAGGTGTATTACATGACCAGTAAGACCCATGTTAATGATGTGGTCTATCATGCCACATGACTCATGTGTAAGCCAGAGATATTCCCTTTTCCATGTGTTCAACTGAGAACCAAACATTGGCTGTGGATCTCTTATTTGGTTCAGTTAAATTATGAATATGGGCACGGAGTTTATAGTCACACTAATTGTCCTGAAACGAAACAACAGAGCTGATTCAATAAAGCATAATATGCATGGTTCAATAGGCATTTATCTAGCTTCACCGAGAAGCAGGATGGAGAAATGAATTAGTTTGGTCTATGGGTGTAGCCAAGGCTCAAGAAATCGGCAATAACCAGCCATATGGAAAAACAAGAATGCTAGTTAGACCACCGAATTTATGACTTTAATGCACCAGGTAGTTTCTACCAAACCTGATGTTAGAGGTGAACATTGCTAACACTACAAAATACTGGTGCATCTTCAAATGTAGACTGGATCTCAAGTTGTATATTCAAAGTATGCTGGTACTGAGGTTGAATACAACAACTCCAAGCATCTTATTATGAAAGAGGATGACATCATAGGTATTCTTGAATCTGATGATGTCAAAGACATGAAGCCTCTCAATGACCGGATTCTCATCAAGGTATTTATATCTAATGTCATGTCACTAAACAATACTAGTGTATATTTAGAGAATTTCCCGTCGAGCTTGTAACACCGGTTAACAATGCTTATCTATCTTGCATTTGTGCTAGGTTGCAGAGGCTTCAGACAAGACTGAAGCTGGTCTTATCCTCACCGAGACAACCAAGGAGAAGCCATCCATTGGAACAGTAAGTTAATTATCATTAGGTACAAATCCATGCTGAACTAGCAGGTGTTTAATCGATTCACCTCTAAATGCAGGTCGTAGCTGTTGGTCCGGGCTCTCTTGACGAGGAAGGCAAGAGGCAGCCATTGCCGGTGTCACCAGGCAGCACCGTGCTGTACTCCAAGTACGCAGGCGGCGAGTTCAAGGGAGCTGATGGCACGAACTACATTGTGTTGAGAGTGTCTGATGTGATGGCTGAGCTCTCTTAAGTGTGCGGTTTATTACTTTGTTTCAGTTTTGAGTTCACGATATAGGCTAGCATGAGTGGTAAGATTGCTATGTGATAACCACTTGATGCTATTTCGGATGATTACGGAATTGTATGAGCAAACCTGTTGTCTGGGATAAAAACATTTACTGAATTTGTTTACAAAGGGAGCTTATGCCTGTTTTCTTGTGCTTCGCTGATTGCCTATTGTTGTGGCACTATCTATGTGAAAGGGTCCTAGACATCTATCTACCTGTGAGTGGGCTAAACAGTAAGCAAACCTGGATGATCTGGCTTATCAGAATGATTGCTCATTCTTCAGTGTTGCTTCTTCGAACCATCTAGCGACTATGCTACCTTATTTCCCAACGCGAACCAAATCTAGGCTGCTGGTTGCTCAGG